TTTATCGAAACAGGTGCGTTCGCTGAGTGTTCCTTGAATATTTTAAAAATATACACAACACGGTAATATTTCTTGAATTTTGCTCAAGCGATTGCTAGGGTAATCCATTGAGCATTAAGTTGCCTTTGAAGGAATTTCGAAGAGGCACTAGCGTAGTACAACGCTGAAAAAATATTTGCTTTGAAGATTGGATCACAGCGGAAATCACTGATTGAGCGGGAGGCGAAGAATACAGGCTAATTTCGAAGCGCAAACCGTGGGTTTTGAGGAATTCTTGTGGAGTAATCTTCAATTTTTCTACGAGACTTCAAGCATTTTAAACAAAGCTCAAGTGTAGCGTGCGTGAATGATGGAGTTTTTGCAGAAGTTGAAGATATCCGGCGGGGTGAATTTGAGCAACCTACGCTCTTCGCGAGACACAGAGCGAACAACGAGTAACAGTTCTACCACAAGCTCGAGGAACGAGGCGAAGGAAGATGTTTCTATGCCACCGAGGGGATCGCCTGCTGCCAAGAAGATGAAAAATTCTTCTTGTAATTGATTCGCCCGATACGGATTGGTAAGCGCAATCGAATGCATACGCCAAACCCTCGTTTCGCTAGGATACAAGTTTGTCAGTATATATTCATATTTTCTGGCTTTTTTTTGGTATAAATTAAAAAAAGCTTGCAACAATCGAAGATCAAAGATTGCAACTTTTGATCTTAATTGCAACGTAGCAATTAACAGCCGTTTTTTCTACGGCCTTCCATCCAACCGCAGTTTTTAAACAGAGCGATATTTTAAAGTTGCTATTCGATCGAGGTCTGTAGAGCTAAATTTTACCTTGAATGTTTTGTAGCTAAATCAAAATTTACAAACGGATTTTTCTTTAAATTGTCCCAACAGCAAAATATATGAATATACAGCGTATAGCCGGAACCATGCTAGGAAATCCGTTTATTTTCGTGAAACATTGCAATGTATTAGAATTTATTTATTTAACCGACTTCAATATTTCTCGCCTTCGCCTCGGCTAGACAGATATTTAACTAATAGCTTTATTGTTTTCCAACAGGGCCAAGATATTCAAAGGAAGGCAACTGCATTCAGGAGTTTATGATGTCAGAGTCGAACAGGTATTGATTTTATTCATATACTGACAATTTATATTGAAATTATTATTAAAGTGCTAAGTACCTTTACACAAAATCATCCCCGGACGACACGCAGGGACATCAAATGTCCCCAGACGGAAGAAACTGTTGTGTTTACCTTTTATATTCTAATCTCGTTCTCCAAAAAATTTCCATTTCATTGTATAATTGCGTTTCTTGATGTCAAAATTAGGCAGGATCATTTCAAACACAACGGGCCTTGTTAATTACAAATCCCCCCACCACAGTTTAAGCTCTGTACACGACACGCTTGGCGCTCGTCGTGTGGTTTTCATTCATTCCTCATTTGCTATTTTTTAGCCAAGGACGGCTGAAAAAAATATAGAAATTAAGAAATGTCACGCGGGTAATCTCAGAGCGGTTAATGAGGTCGCGACAACACAAATTGAGACACAACCAAAAATTAGCATTCAGTTCCCGCTCTTTTAGTATAAATTGTCACTATAAAACTGTAAAAGATACGTAAGCGAGAGCCATTTTTGACATAATTTTGGCGCCCTTAAAGAAAGAATACTTATTAAAATTTAGGTGTGATTTTTAATAGATGAGCTCAACACCAATATGTTAGGTTGAAATAACGAGCTTCGTTCCGTGAAAAATTTATAAGTCGCGCATTTGGCTCCCATTTGCATCTTTTAATTATCAGAATTCTTCATTCATATGAGAAAAGTTGCGATTGATCGAGAGAAACGTTTAAATAACTGTGGTTTTCGATACGCGAGCAAAAACAATAAGAAAGTCTTACTATAGAGGGATTCTTTGGTTATCTTCAGTTTAAAGATAAATTCTAAAAATAAAATTTATTGACAGGATGCAAAGCTCTTAGAACGTTTGGTTTGTTAATAAATATATCAGCCAATCAGAATGCTGAAAGCCATTCCATATTTGGTCTTGATCCGCTTTTTCCCGCCACAATGAGCAGCCGGTCGTCGCCTCGACGGTGGTACCTTTTTCCGCCAAAATTGATTCACACAGGTCCCTCAAGAATTTTGTTCGTTGTATCTGGAGGTTCGTTATTCGTGCAACAGGAGGTTTTTCTTTCGATCAGTCGCTGGAAAATAACCGCAAAACACGCACTTTCGTTGTCTCCGGCTAATCTAATTTGATCACTGATAATTAATGAATGATCAACACGGACTAGACAATATAAGTTAACCGCTAAGCAACATGACATATCCTCATTGCGCTATGCTGGCGTGACAATTTTCGGAGTACAGTACTCGTGAGTGCTCGCGCTGTTTCTTGATTGGATAACTGAATAAGAATCGGAAACTCTTCGACTGCTTCAACGAAGATTTGCCAAAAACGACACTTGTACCACCGGCTGATACGATGGTATTTGAATATGACGGACGATCAGAAGTATTGTTGCTTGTTGTCTAAAAAGAGCGGGCTAAAAAGCACAAAATGAAAGCGTCCAAAGAGATTTAGGGCGGGTACGTTACGAGCACTCTCTACTTTCCCTCATAGATCGTTACAGCGGAGAAAAATTCCTGAGCTCGACAAGAAGAGGGTAACAGGGGTATTTTAATCAACTTCTTCCGGGAGCTGACACTTGCAGTTCTTATACAGTCGAAGCTCTCTGAGCGGGACATTCTCCTATAAAGCGGACAGCTCTACTTACGGCCGCCTTGACAAAACCCCGTTTGAACTCTAGCTCATACAAACTCTGTATTTGCCATTCTCGTAAGCGACCAGCACCAGTTGCGGACACTTTTTCGCTTCCCGAGGGCGTCTGCTTACGAGAGCTTCGACTGTATGCGAAAGATGCCGCGTAATGCAATCATCGTCTTCCTCTTCTTTGTACACAGGCTCAGTTTGCAGACTTGAATCTGGCTTCGTATTCTGACAGCGGTACAATGGTGGATATCCAAGTGTACCGTGAGGGAACTGTTTGTAGTCAGGTACTGAAGAACGTCTTGCTGAACTAGATTAGAGCGATGGCTTTTTTTCTTTCTACGATATTTTCTCAGTGCGTTCACTTTGGTATGGCGGTTCCCTCATGATCAGTTCTATAACTGGATCATGCAAAGTAACTAAACCAAACTGATTGCAAGGCCATAGTACTAGTACTTCAAGTGACGTCTAGGCTCGATTACCAGCCGCTGTTCGGGAAAATGAACGAAGGTTGGACTCGTAAGAGCGGCGAAAATCGAGCCTACAGTGACTTCTGGCACGCGCATTTCTAAAACAAGAGACCCGTCAACAAATTGCCGTTGTGTCAGTGGTCTTCTGCATTCAAACGTTTTATATCGTACAACAATTCTAACAGTTCGCCGATACCCGATTTAGCCTACGAGTAGGTTCACGTTTGGGGCCCATGCGCGACCGGCGAAAGCCGCGGGAATCACGCGCCCCGCCTCGCCCGGCTTTCGCCGCTCACGCAATGGCCCCAAACGTGAGCCTACTCGCAGGCTAGTACCAATTTTATATACTCCTGGGTGGAGAGAGGAACTATGAGAATAAAGTGTCTTGGCGCAGACCTAATTAACTCAGTTATTTCTACGGCAGAGATCTCCCTATTTTCTGTGTGTGAATAAGAATCGTACAACCTCAGGGCACTTCTCCCCTTCGACTGCTCGATATGGCAGTCATGTTTTTCGCATTTGAAGTTGTACTCCTTTTTAATAATATATCCTTTGCTTTTAATACTATACTAGGTCTTTTCGTCCCGACTTCGTCCTTGTTCGACAGAGTGTGCGGGGCATTGGGCCTAGAGAGGACTATCGCAACATTCTCCTGGGATTACAGTTTGGTAACGTACCCAGCGTCAACTCGCTAACGTCCATTTACAATTTCGCTGAGAAGCCCTGGGTGGTAAGTTTAAGTAACTGTTCGATTACCATCAAATCACTGTTTTTAAAAGCTCTAGCTCCCGGAGGGGGTACTCCCACACGGGGATGGGATGCTCGTCGTCCCTTTTAGGGGTGTAAATTACGGATTTTGGTCCCACTTAGGATGTTCAGGACGGAACGGCGATATTTTTAGCCATCAAGGTATCTTTAGGGTTGCACGCGAAGAAATAATAAAAAAGACCGTCATATATAATGGTATCTTTTATGGGTCAAAAAAGGCTTGAGCCACGCCCATCATTGGCCCCTTTTAATTTTAGTGGTGTAATTTAAAATTTCCGACGATCATCCCCGTCACTTTCATATGGGAGTCCCCCCCGGGAGGGCTCTAGCTCTGGTCAAACGGAGTTTCAAGTAGGTGCCAGTTCCAACTTGTGTTGTCTTGCTATTTCGTTTGGCTAGGACTTGAGCGCACTTGCCTTGCCTTGCGATAACTTGCGTTTACTTTGATCGAGATCAAATTTGTACGCAAGTAGATGGACACAAGTTTTTCACCGTTTGGCCACCCAACGCAAGTCGCCGCAAGTTCATCGTATTAAGTCATTCGTAGTTATATATTTCAGGAATTTTTTTGCATTTTTCTGTCCAGTTAGTTCAGTCCATCGACAATCCAAGCCGTTTCTCAATCGGAGCACGGGAAGCCCGCACTTTTTGTAGCTAGTGTTGTTAGTGTGAACCAGACCTTACAGTCGGCCTTACAATGCTCTTAGCAACTTGCATCACTTGAACAAAATTTGCATGACTGATGATGTTGAAATATTTTTGTTCTCTCGTCACCAGTTCGCTCAACTCATTCAGCTCCAGAAGAGACTGGGGAAGGATAAATTCCCATTGGTTGAACAGGCGTACTATCCAAATTACAAGGAAATGGTAAGTGTTGAAGAAACCGCTTATTACTGGTATGTTAAATGGTTTTATGTTTAAGAAGTCTTAACTTTTCAAGGATAATTGAAAAAAATTTGTGGCGTATCATGGTCTAAGCTCCCACGAGTCTCCTGTAGCTCAGTAGAAGAGCCTCCGACCGGTGTGCGGAAGTGGAAGGTTCGACTCCTGTTGGGGGAAACTCGGCATTTTTTTCCGAGTAGCTTGTGTCATTGACTGAATAATATCTTTCTCAAGTTGTGGATTGTTTCAGTAGTTATGATTTAGTCATAGTTATTTTACCGAGTGTAACGAGGGTTATAGGGCCATACCTATTAAGTGATCCCCCTTCTCAGAAGACACACAAGTTCAGGCAGGCCACCACCATTGTATGATTGCAAAATCCGTCATTTTATTACTACCCTTTATTATAAAACCATTTATTCCGTAACCAATTGTGAACTCACTTTCAAATAAACCTGATAAAGGCTTACATGGCCAGCCGAAATATCGCTAAAAAGATTATAACGTTGTAGATCAGCTTTAAAGCAGTCGTCGGACAGTTTCATTTTCATTTTCTTTTATGTTGATCAAGATCTTCTACGGACTAGTCCAATGTGACAAGTTTGATTATACGCGGGTTCTTGCAATTGTTGAAAATTCTATACACTACGTACTACAGTTTTTGTAAAAAAGATCCCTTGATTATGCACAATAAAAACCTAAACTTTTAATTAAAAATCAAAGATCACTTATTCTTGGCCGTTCAATCAAAAGTGGGTACAATTTGCAGGAACAAACTGGACAATCCCATGCAAACAAGATACTCTTAATTATTAAGGCACTTTCGGAAAACAGCTCTTTTGGGAATGATCCATTTGCATTTTTCGCCCGTTTTTACACAGAAAGAATACTTCCTTTTGCAGTAGGCCATCTGGCCAGTCTCTGGTTTGTCGCAGCCTCCAACCATGCCGTCGCACGTCTCCGGTGCTCTTTTAAAGCAGTATTTTTCAATTCGGCATGCGCAGTTTCGGCCATACTTCGTCTTGAGCCCGCGGCGTTGTTGCAAAGTGACGTCTTTCCATAAGCCATGCCACTTGCACGAGTAGCTGTGTAACCTGTGCTCCTCTATGTAGCCCAGTAGGAGGTAGACTTTCGATGTGTCGAGTCGTATACCGCAAGAAGCGGAGCTGAGGCTTGTCGTAACAGTCACCACCCTTTTTCTACGCTTCCCCGTGCTGTTGACTTGAGTTCCAGCAATCTGGTCAATTTCTGCAGCTCCTTTGTAGGTTTTTAAGATCCTGACGGTGTAAATTTTACTGCTGTTGGCCAGGGTCTCGCTCAGAACCTTTGCGCGGATGGCTGTGGAAGAAAGGCGCGTGAACTGCGGATTAGAGATGAAATGAATGAAATGAACTTCGCAGAGTGTAAACAATTGCTTTTAGGTAGTTCGCTGAGATTAACATTTCTCAAAGCCGGACAAATCGAATTCTAAGCGTACTTAGCCTGCGTAGCAGTCGTTTCCTTTCCGAGAGCGTGCAGGGAGGCGCGCGAAAGCGCCACGAAGGCGAAAAGAGCGGGAAAAATTTGATCAGTATTAAACTAGCGACCCACCCCTCCCCCTCCCGCTTTTTTTTCGCTCTTTTCGCATTCGCGCTTTCGCGCGCTTCCCACGCTCTCGGAAAGGAAACGACTGCTACGCAGGCTAAAGCGTACTCAGTTTTTATCATTCCGAGTGACAAGTACGTTATAACAATATTTGGTCTATGTAACATAGACCAAATAAATGTAAAAATTGTTAAATTGCAAAAATGAAAAGAAGAAAAAAAACGGAAATGGCATTATGAAGGTTTCAAACAAACATGGTTACTGTTATTTTATACTGAAATATATTTCTTATAAGACAAGATTTGGGAAAACATTTTATGAGAAATATTAAACGCGGATAAAAGCATGACGTTTCGACGACTCCATGTCATCATTTTCAAATGCAAATTTTGGAAGTTTTACAGGTATATATATAAGCGGATTAAAGTGTGAAAATGTGAATAATACAATGCAGCGAAATTAAGAGTAAATAATACAAGAAAAGATTGTTCATAGATTAAAACAAAAATATATATATATACCTGTAAAACTTCCAAAATTTGCATTTGAAAATGATGACATGGAGTCGTCGAAACGTCATGCTTTTATCCGCGTTAATATTTCTCATAAGATATTTCTTATTCACTTTAAGAATCTGTTTTGTGTTCAACCAATAATTTCCGTTTTGTATTAAATTTTTCATTGTATGCGGTAACATTAATACTAAGTCAACATATGATATGGGTCATACGCCATTGAGTGTATCTTTGGAAAATATTATTCCGGCTATAAATGGCGTACTTTCAAAGTCGTTTACACAGATTAAACTGTCTAGCAAGGCGAGAGTGCTTTTTCTGAATTCCATCACGACTCGATTTTAAAATTCAATTCTTCTGTCTAATGCTTCTCCTTTTAATTAAACTCGCCGGTGGTCGAAGCTCGAAACGTATAGAAAGGTATGTGAACGGATGAGATCATTCTACGCATCGTTAACATTAGAACTCGCATGTGTTTTTTTAAACATTTTCTCTTTATGTGTGGACATATAAACGTAGTGCTGTTTGTTTTTCGATCCGATTTCTGGATGGAATAAACATACAAATAATAATAGTATGATGCCTGTAACAACAGCGGCTTTCTTAAGTCAACCATTTCCTGGGGATTTCCGTACGGCACAACATTTTTGTGGGTTCCATTTTTCCGTGGTATTTTTCACGAACCGTAAAGAAAACTTCCCGCCAAAAATATTCCCGCGAAAAATATTTTCCGAAAATTCTACTCCACTGTGATGTGAATACGATACGAACAAGAAAACCGATATACGCATATAGACATTGTCCGAATGTTCATCAAGAGTTGTTATCACTCCATCATTTAATACCAGAGTAATCCACAGCAGAACTAATTTTCACTGTTACGACGAACGAACGTGTTTGTAATTTCCAATTCTATGCGACTTGCTGAAAATCGCAAACATCACTGAATTCCCTCAGGGGCACCCAACGACTCGCAAATACTTTAAAACACTATTTTAGGCTGTCTTGTGTGCTTTTAAAGATCTATAAATGAATTCTAAGCTGCGCTATAAAATTTATATCTGTTCGGTCATTCTAGGGGAACTTTAGACTTCACGAATTTATTAGGGCTTTTTTTTAGTCATTTCCAGCTCTTCCTTGCTGATTTTTCCTTTCGCAAAATCCTAGCTGACCTTTTTTTCTTTCCGAAAATCCTAGCTGACCTTTTTTTGTACCCAAAACGAAATTTTTATCTCTCCGAAAATAATAGGCATTATTAAATTTTCCCATATTAAGATAGACTGCAAAAACAGTCTCTCCTTTTCTCGAGATATTGTGCGCGACGCGCGAATTGAGAGGCGCGAAAGCGCCGATAATCCACGCGCGAGCCTGATAATCCACGCGCGAGCCTCGTAAGAGGCGAGAAAAGAGAGACTGTCCCCTTTTCATACAACGAATTCGTTCCGACCAGGGGGTCTGATGCTTCCGCTAAGGTGTCAAAAATTCCTTAACAGCTCCGCCTAACCATAAACGTGACACTTTTTGCTTAGAAGGGGGAGCGATAAAAGCGATATTTATAGGCCATCTAATTCTTTTGTCTGCGTGTATTCGTCTCTAAAGTCATTGGCAATGTAGCGAAAAATTCGTTGTTGAAGCCTCCTACGCCTGATAAACTGAGCCCTATTCGAGAAATCCTAAATAACCTTCTCCCTCAAATAATTGCCGATTATGTGACTGCTATTTTAAGACGCAATTTGGTAACGCATCCGAACTGAAATATATTTGTTAACCGCAAAAGCGGAATGACAAAACGGTCTCCGTTTTAATAGCCGTGGACGAAGGAAATCGTTGGTCCTCAAGATTTTGCTCTTCGTGTCCGTTGAAGGTTGGGAACTTTGTTATTATATATTGAAGCAAAATTTGGCAAGTCGAGAATCCCGGTGGAGCAAAACAACATGCCTTCCAGCTGTTCGGGTTAATCAGCTCATCGCTTTCGAACGGAATAACAACAAGGATCGCTGCCTTTCCTACTGTTGATTTTGTGATCTTGGTCGACATCGTGTCGCTTGACTTGACTGACGCCTTTTCCGAAATCCGAAGTACAGCGATCAAAACTCGCATCTATGGAAGGAATGTCTCCTGCTCCATCTTCCCTCCCGCGAACTAATCAATGTTTGACGCTGTTTGTGGTTAGGCCTCCGGGGACGAGAATGATGTCCGATGACAGATTACGTCGAAAACGGACCAATCGGAATTTTGCGTTTCTCCAGCAACGCAGAATTCGGAACGGATTTCATGTATGGAAAGGCGACAGTCCGTATTTATAGCGTCTCTCCCCAATCCCACTCGTAATTTCATGCTCGTTCCAGATCCTTCGGCCGCGTTCAGCCCGACACTCTCGCGCGAAAATACGGACTGTTTTGCAGTCTAATATTAAGAAAGTTCGAGATGATATTTCCCTAAAGAAAACTCCAAACTTTAATCCGAATATCTGAGGCGATTATAGGCCTTCCGAACAGATATTTCACCGAAACGATCCGTTGGGTGTCCCTGTTCCCTGCACGAAAAGCCATTCTCTACCAATTGAACAAAATAATTAGATCCCGCAAAATCCGGAAATCGGCCAATCCGCAAAATTCAGCTGACTCAGCAAAAGTTTGTGCTGACGCGGTAGTTGTTTGAAAAAAAAAAAAAAAAAATCTGGTCAAGCTCTGTCATAGGTCTATAACTAGGCTCTGTATAACTGAAAATCTTTATTATCATGAAGAGAAACGTCAAAGCCAGCAACTTGTAACTTAAGCTCACTTTGTTAAAGGAGCTACGTCACGGCTGGCGAATCTTGAAAACATTGGCCAATTTTTCAACCATCCTTGTTCCTGTTTGATTTATTATTACCTCTTTGGTGTTTTTTCTACCTTAGCAAACTATTATTTTGAGGCTTTCTTCAGTTTGAAGGTGATTTTGCACTTCGCAAAAATGACTCAAAATATCGTGACAGTAGTATGAAAACAAAGCTCTGACGTAGAGAAAACACAGTTCAGCACTGGGTTCGTTTTTCAAGTCCCGTCAACTTGAATCAAATTAGTTTCCATGATTTCC